GGGGGGGGGGTCCAAGACACTCATTACTGATTTGGTTTGTGTACAGTTTGCAATCTCATCCCACTTCCTCAACATGTCATCCACTATGTAATTTGTGAATAGCTCTAAGGATTTCAGCCACTGTACAACCCTCAGTTCTTCAGCCCGTCTCTCAACTTCTGAGAAGATCCTGGAATTTCTTTCTTCTCATAATAACCAACATACTGCAGCCCTCAGTACTCTCCACATAGTCCTTCCCCTTTTCATACGCCACCTGAAAAAAGAAGGGGAGAAAAGACTTTGCATGTCTGATGGAGGGTTCCAACTACACCCAAAGAGAGAAAAAGCCCATTCCCACATTGACTTTGCAAATTGGCAAGACACCAGTAAGTGAAAACCAGTTTCCCCATCTGCTTTGCAAAGAACACACCAATGAGGTGACAAGCAAGTATTGGGTCTCTTCTTTTGGAGCAGATCATCAGTGTTGAATCTTTCTAGATAGGCTTTCCAACAAAAACTACCAACCCTAGGAGGAATTGGTCTGCACCAACAAAAATAACTTTCTGCCCCAGAAAATTGAAAAATACATACAAAAGAGGTGAAAATGCAAATCCATCTGTTGGCTATTTGATTTTCCCATTGTTTCATATGTTTGTATTGATGTATTATAGCATTAATTCCATGGTTCAACATACAATTATGTCTTCACTGTTTTCTGAACATTAGCATGCTAAAATCTTCTGAGATAATAGGTCGTCTGAGATGAGCTCTCACTTCTAGATCTGTAATTTTTCCTTTTACTTTTGGGTATCTAATACATGTTCCCACCTTCAGCATTACACCTCTGCGGGTACATGCATGAGTGCATTTAAGGCTCCTCTTGATCCAAGCACAGCATTGGGGGGATTTTCCGGGAACAATTATTCAGAGGTAATATAAGTAAAGTAGTCTGAGATGTTGCTGTGATGGTTTGAGTATTTTCTAATCCTATAATGATGTTTTCTGTGACAGGCTTCTGCATTTATAGTAACTTATCCAGTAAATAATATGGTTGAGAAAAAAGGCACTGATGCTGGAAAAGCAGTGGCTTGGGAAAAAGCTTTTGTTCAGTTGGCAAAGGTTTGCCATTGGCACTTTCTATAATGAATTTATTTATTTGGGATCACCTATGCTTTTTGTGTGGTTAATCTATATTTATTCTGTTCAATCGGTTATAGGACAATTTATTTTGATGTGCCATTTTCTTGGTATTTATTTGCTTGGAGTATTGGTGGATGGTGGTATCGAGTACATTGAAATTAAGGCAACTAGACATTGCCTAGTCAAGTAGGTGTTTTATGCACATTATTTCAAGTTTTCAACATCAGATGCTTTATCTTCATTATAATCTACCAAACTGGAAGGGGATGAACCCCGAGATAATGTGATGACTTTGATTTGCTCGTTGCATTATTTTTGAATTTGGGCAAAGTTGCCCAGGTCAGAACTAAGCCCAATATCTTCTAATCCTGCATAGGTATGTGTCCACACAAATATATTTTAACCTTTTAATTTCTAAGTGAATTTATACTCATCTAAAACTAATATGAAAAATGAAATGAACTAGATCTAAATAACATTCCAACTACTAAAATACTAAATGCAATAATTTCCATATGCAATATATTTTCCACCTAACATAAATACTGCAGCCCAGTTTTCGGTATAAACATTAAAATTGTGGTTTATTCTTGGAGGCAACAAACACAACAATGGGGGGTAACCCAGAGCATGTCCAATTATTGTTGCACATTTCATGCACTTTGTAGTGTTTGGACCTCCTTTTCCCCATATACTTGATTGCTTCATTTCATCCAGTTTTTTGTAACAGGAAGAGCTGATGCCGATGGTGCAATCTAAGAATCTCACACTTTCCTTTTCATCGGAAAGCTCTATTGAGGAAGAACTGAAAAGAGAAAGTACTGCAGATGTTATAACCATTTTGGTGCGTCCTAATGGTGCAAAAAAAAGAAAAAAAAAAGAAAAAACATTGTTTGCACTTCTCATGTTAAACTCATCCTTAACTGTTTGATGATATTGCACGTATGTTGTAATATTGTATCTGTTTTAACTTTTGTTTTTTATTTTGTTTTATGTTTGCATTCAGATAAGCTATGTTGTGATGTTTGCTTATATATCTATGACTTTGGGAGGTCCACCTCAATTTTCATCTTTCTACATTTCATCCAAGGTATGATCTTATCCTTGATTTGAACTTTCTTCTCCCTTGCAAAATTTTGTTTATTTTGTAGCATACAAGGTATTTGATTTTCCTAATATTTCTGAATTGATGGTTGGATTCCAGGTGCTACTTGGCTTTTCAGGAGTTATTGTTGTCATGCTTTCTGTTCTTGGATCTGTAGGATTTTTCAGTGCTATTGGAGTAAAGTCTACACTAATAATAATGGAAGTTATTCCTTTTCTCGTTTTGGCTGTAAGTTCTTTTCTCATTATTATAAGTAAATCCTCTTTAGCTCTAATGTTAATGTAATATCTCCTTGATATGTAATATGATGGTCATACTGATGTTGTGTTGTAAGGTTTCCAAGTGGAAAGGCATCAATATTTGTTGCTGCTTATGTAGTACATGGCATATGTTAAATTCATACTCTTGTACATACTGAGCTGAAAGTTTTTCATAAAATTGAAAGTGTTTCAATATTCCTTCTTATTTGCATATTAACAATATTATTGTATTATGGTCTTATGCGCTAAATATGACTACATGATTTACACAGATGATTGAGTGCTTCCCCAAAAGAACTGTTATGATCAATTGTCAGCCCTCTGTGTGTGTGTATGTGATCATGGTTTGCAATATCGTCCTGATTTGGCTGATTCATCAACCAAACAAGTGGCAACAAGGGAGAATTTTTTTTTGGCTCAATTGTAATGTACACTTTAAAGATAGAGATAGCAAGTGATTATGGATGTAAGATGTATGTAACTTTTACAATAATCTGTTAATAATTAATAAGAGAAATTGCCATTCATCAAAAAAAAAAAAAATCTAGGTTTGGCAAAGTACTCCAGAATCTCCCTATTTTGGTAGGGGGGGTGATGTGAAGTTCTCCAAGAACTGTTTTCCCTAGTATCTCTGATATTTTGTTGATACACTGGGGATATTTCAAGATTCATTGACAGACTATACATTTAAGGTTTAAAATTTTAGAATATTCATTAGAATCATCACAATTTAAATTTTTTTCCTAAAAAAACAAATGGGTTCAGTGATTGGACTATTGGTTTACTTTTCTATTATGGTTCACTTACCAAGTAACTATAGTTTAGAAGAAGAAAAAGGAATACAACTAAAAAGTGGATTCACAATCTAATCAAATCGTATAGTAACAAAAAGGACAAAAGTCAATATTGGAAAGAAAATGGCATTAGTACAGAAGAGAAGATGGTAACGGGATGGCTTCTAAACCCGGATACTATCATTTGGGGCTACAATGATCTCATAAAAAAAGTAAAGTGGTTAACCAGCAATATGAGAGTTGAGGTAAAATGGGTTAGCAGGTCTGCTAATTCTATGGCTGATTCTTTAGCCAAACAGGGGGATTTCCGGGGAAGACCTTTTTTGTGCTACTTTGTAAGCTATTAGTAATTTGGAATTTGTACTTAACTAGCTCGGAGAGGTTGCAACTTGTGCCTCTACTCGGAGACTTTGTACTATTGTCTATTGCTGATTAATAAATTTATTTCAATTACAAAAAAAAAGAAGAGAAGATGGTTAAAAGACTATAATGGAGACAAAGAGAAAAGATATCTATTTAAGTCTCTTAATCTTCTTTTATTTGATTTGTGTTGTTGTTTGCTGTGGTTTCTTGATCCTTAAATGTGCAATTATACTTATAATAGTGGCTTTCACTAAGAAACTTATTAATTTCGGAGATTGCGTTATTTCTTTAATATTATACTGACATTTTCTTTTCATTTTCTGTTAGGTTGGAGTGGATAACATGTGTATCTTGGTACATGCTGTCAAACGGCAACCACTGGAGTTGCCTTTAGAAGGGAGAATAAGTAATGCTCTGGTTGAAGTTGGGCCATCTATAACATTAGCTAGTTTATCTGAGGTTTTGGCATTTGCAGTTGGAGGTTTCATTTCAATGCCAGCATGCCGTGTATTCTCCATGTTTGCAGGTGAGATTTTACCTCTCATATCCTTAATGTCAAACATTCTTTTAATTGCTTTGGTTGACTTTGTATAACTGTTATTTTGCAGCCTTGGCTGTTCTTCTGGACTTCCTTTTGCAAGTTACTGCTTTTGTTGCCTTGATAGTTTTTGACTCTTTGCGGGCTGAAGATCATAGGGTTGACTGTTTTCCATGCATAAAAGTTCTCCAATCCTCTGCTGAACCTGATGGTGGTATTTAAAAGGCTTTTATCCTTCATTATTACTAGATATTGCTAGATGCAATTATTCAAATTATGTTACTTGATGGTTCAAGCATCATGATTATTCTTTTTCTGTACGTAATGCAAAATCTGACGAAGTACAACAATGTGCAGGGATTGGTCGGAGAAAGCCTGGATTGCTGACTCGATATATGAAGGTAAAGTATTGATCAATAAGTATCATAATAATTATTCTTTGTTTTTTAGTGAATCATTCATAGCAATTCCAGCCCTTATCTTGGTGCAATTGAAGCCTAACTTTTGCTGACACTGGACAATCTTATTATTAACGTAATTTTGTGGTTCTTTGCTTCATTTCTGAAACTATTTGTGGATCTTTCCAACTTGAAGGAAGTCCATGCACCGATTCTTTCTCTTTGGGGAGTTAAAATGGTTGTCATCGCAATCTTCGTTGCTTTAACTTTAGCAAGCATTGTAAGTTCTTCTTGATTTATTAACATTTTTCTTTGATGTCTCTTTTAGTGTTTTTTTGTGAGTATATCATGATATATGTAACACACGATTTTAAACCTAATAGGCATTATGCTTGAGAATACAACCTGGTTTAGAACAACAGATTGTTCTTCCCCGAGATTCATATCTTCAGGTTTATGTTTTGGACCTTGTTTTTTCTCATTGTCCTGTGCATTATGAATGTTGTATAATATCCTTTTCCTTATCTGGTGTCCTTTCTGCTTTTTAGCAACCAGTTCTTTTTTTGGCAGGGATACTTCAGTAATGTCTCTGAGCATCTTAGAGTAGGTCCGCCATTATATTTTGTGGTGAAGAACTATAATTACAGGTACCACTGACAATATCTTGTTTGTACATTCTGTTCATGTTTCAGTTAGTATTACACTATTAATTAATTGCATTCTCTTTGTTCTAAGAATTTCTGAAAGGACAACTCCATATAGGTTTCATTTTTAAATTTTAAGGGATTGTTTGATAACTGATGAATTGACTAAATTGAATTGCTTATTGGTTTGTCTTTTAGTGAATACAACAGCAAAGGTCAAATGGTGAAATATTTAGGGTAAAGTTGTCACCTTGCTGGGATTTGACAATTGAGAAGCTTGCACCCTACTGAATCTGAATTACTTATTGTCTAAAAAAACTGATAAACAATTTTGTTCAGCCAATTCCATCATTATCAAATGATCTCTAAGTTTTATGACAATCTTGATGGTTCTTGCACATCCATAAAATTACATTCACTAGACACCTATATTGTTGTTTCAGAGATAGAATTGTCTGCCTCATTTTGTTTTGTGCTTTTCCTTTGCACAATAATGCATTCTTGAATGGTGATTTGGAGGAGGTGTACATGATCCAACCACCCGATTTTTGTGCTAAGGGTAGTGAATAGAAAGTGTGCAGATTGAAGAAGTCTTTGTATGGTCTAAAATAGTCACCAAGGGCTTGGTTTAGTAGATTCCACTAGGCTGTGCAGCAGATGGGATTCAAACAGTGCCAAATTGATCACACACTCTTTGTGAAGGAGCAGGGGAAAAAACAACTACCTTGATAGTCTATGTAGATGACATAGTTATCACTGGTGATTGGGTCTTAGAGATACAAGAGTTGAAGGAGTTTTTAGCTACACAGTTTTAGGTAAAGGATTTAGGCTCATTATGTTACTTCCTTGGGATTGAAGTTGCTCGCTCTCAACAAGGAATCTTCATTTCCTAAAGGAAGTACACCCTAGATCTCTTGAAGGATATAGGGAAGTTGGGAGCAAAACCAATTGGCACTCTTATAGATGTAAATCATAGGATGGGGGATAGAAGGATGAGCCTATAAAAGATACTAAACAGTACCAATTACCAAAGACTTGTGGGAAGGCTTCTCTACTTGGCTATGAGTCAACCTGACATTGTTTATGCTATGGGTGTTATCAGTCAGTTCATGCATGCACCCAAGGCAACACACTTAGAGGCAGTAGAGAGAGTACTCAGATACCTAAAGAAGTTCCCAGGGATGAGTCTCTTCTTTAAGAAGCATGGACACATGAAAGTTGAAGTTTATATTGTAGCCGATTGGGCTGGTTCTATGGATGACAGAAAATCCACTGGTGGTTATTGTACTTTTGTGGGAGGAAATCTTGTTACTTGGAGAAGAAACAAAAAGTGTAGTGGCTAGGTCTAGTGTAGAGGTGGAGTACAGGGCCATCATCACCCATGGAGTTGCCGAACTTCTATGGATTAAGAATCTGCTAGGTGACAATAAAGCTGCCATCAATATTGCAGCTAACCTTGTCCTCCATGATAGAACGAAGCACATTGAGGTGGATAAACAATTCATTAGGGAGGAATTAGAGAAGGGAGAAGTATGCACTCCATATGTCAGCTCAAAGGAGCAACTTGTAGATGTTCTTATGAAAGGTCTTAATCACTTGCGGCATAACAAACTTTGTGACATGTTCTGGATGATTGATATCCATGCCCCAACTTGAGGGGGAGCAATGACGTGATGTAATGTTCTTAGTTATGTGCCGCAATGGCACTTTAGTCTTTTTATGTTCTTTTATTTTTTTGTTACCCACACAGTATATATCTATATCAATGCTGGCGCTGGCAGCCAAGACTTTTTTGGCTTTCTCACTATTTGTTTTCTTCTTCTCCTCCTCCTCTTTCTCCCTCTTCTCTCTCTTCCTCTTCTCCTTATTCTTCTTTGATAATAAGGTGGAAATGAAATTAAGACCTAGAAATTCTGTTTCTGTTATCTGGCTCAATTATAGGGGTGGAAATTGAATTGGTTGAAAGCAACTGGGTGAATCAAAACAGCTTGGCTTCTTCAAAATTCATAAATTGAAATGATAAAGGAAAGGGTGCATAGAGCATGCAACAAGCAGGAGTCAGAGATGAGCTATGCAACCATATCCCAGCCCGTTCCTGCATAAATAGTATAGGGCAGTAAATTTGAAGGAGAAAACTGAATGATACTATGTGAAAATTCAAAAAACACAATCAAGTCAAATGTAATTGGTAATGTCCAATTAAGAAAAACCATGTGGATCGAAATATAGTAGCTTCAATCCTATCCCAATGAACTTACCAAATAATTGAATATTTGGTTTGTTCTGAAACTTCTACAATACATTAGAGAAGGCAAATCTAGTAGCCTCTTTTTCCTAGTATCGGAATATCAGGCTTCTCCCTTTCTGGTTAAGAAGGCCTGGAGCTCACATATCCCTCTTAGAGTTTCCTTGTTTGTTTGGGAGGCTTGCTTAAAGAGAATAAACACTTGTGATCTGATCCAGAAAAAGTTTAGAGGCAGATTATGTATCTCCCCCATGTCTGTCTTCTTTGCCTCTGTGATGGAGAGACAGCCGAACACATTCTTCTCCAGTGTCCTGTCACAAGGAAGGTCTGGTGCTATTTCCTGAACTTAGTGGGTTACTGGTGGGTGTTCCTGGAGAAGGTTGTGGACCTCCTACGACAATGGCAAAGCAGAGGGCTAGGAAAAAGAGGAAGACTCTACTGGAGTACGGTGACTTAGGCAGTTTTTTGGGGCATTTGGGAAGAAAGAAACAATAGAATTTTCGAAAATAAAGGTATAAATGTTGAAGACCTAGCTTCCTACATTACTTTTCTCTGTAACCATTTGGTGGTTAATTCTGAAGTGTTCAAAGGTCTCTCCTTAAATGATCTTCAGAGCAACCTTTTAGCAGCCTTGCACTCCTTGCCAAGAACTGAATCGACTTTGAGACTTTTTCTAGAGAGGAAGGAGTGATGACTCTAAGCTTTGACGGTAGTGCCCAATGCTCTATAGGTCAAGCAGGAATTAGAGGTGTTATCCATGGGGAACGGGGGAATATCTGCTGGGATTTTTGTGGTCTGATTGGGAGGGCAGATGCTACAAAGGCAGAGGTCTTGGCTGCATTCACAGGAATTTGTTTTGCCAAACAGCTAGGTTTATCCTCTCTAACCATTGAAGGGGATTCTGCAAATCCATAGCTTGGTTAAGGGAGAAGGAAGGAGAGCCTTGGAGACTAGCACACTTGCTAGCTGAAGCTAGGGATATCTTGGGCTCAATGAATGTAAAGTTAGTCTGAATTCCTAGGGAGCTGAACACTGTTGCTGACTGCCTAACAAAACCAGGGGTTTTTAGAGAAAGTTTGTTTAGTGGAAATTGTTTACCTTTGTAATACTGCCTTAGCTGATTCAGGCTACTGTACATCCTCTCTTGCTCTTTTCTCTCTTGTTTTCAATAAAAGTTAACTTTGATAAAAAATGACATTTATATAAAAGATCTTCCAACTTTGTGACTGACATCTATCTGAGCTTGGATTCTAGGCAACCATCTACTTAGAGTAAGAAACTAAGGAAAAATGCTATCCATTTTCCTAGGAGCCTTTAAAATTTCCTAATTAGACTCCTTACTACTTCCTTCGTTTTCTGAAAATTCTTCTGTTAACTAATGTATTAAGGGGGCCATAAATGTGGTTAGGGTTGTCAACAGGTGAGAATATGACCTGATATTAACTGGATCCAAGTTCTAACTGATTAATATTCAAATTCAAAAGATGATTTATGAGACTTGAACTGCAATCTTTAGTTAAAGATATGGCACCCAAACAACTTGACTAATGATCATATAACTTTCTAACCATATATTTATATGTAGATAGCAGTATTTTCTAATTGGGGGGTGGGCCTTGGTGCAATGGTTGGGTTGCTCCATTGTGACCTGGGTGACCAGGGTTGTTCAAATCTTGGAAACAGCCTGTCTGTATGTGCAAGAAGGCTACGTACATCTGTCCCTCCCCAGACATTGTATTGGCAAGAGAGTCGTGCAGTGGGATGACCTTAGTAATATTTTCTAATTGGATCTCAATTGGATTTTGGTTGGGGTCTATTCTGATCCTATCCATGCTGGTTATAAGAGGATCTACCTTTTGAGCTTTGTACTTACCTAATAGGGTTGATTTTGGATCAGATCTTGATTATGATAAAATCCATTATAGTTCTAATTATGGTATGCTTTTTTGGTTGACAAATGAAAGCCAAAATTCTTGACATCGTAACTATCAACATGCTCAAAAGTTCTTGACGTCGTACCAAAAGTTCTACATAGTAACTATCAGCAATTTACTTTTATGAAGTTATAAAAAAGCTCTCAATGCATTAAGTGTTTATGTAGAATCTCTTCTTTCTTCTCCCACTTGAGACCAGTTATTTCTCTATTGTTTCTCCTTTGTTATTATTTGAATTTCCATTTTTATTGGTTGTGTGATATTGGTTTTTCTGATTATCAGCTCAGAATCAAGACATACAAACCAATTATGCTCTATCAGCCAATGTGATGCAAACTCTCTTTCAAATGAGGTAAACTAGTTACCAGTGGATGTCCTAGCTTGTCTGATAATATAAATGTTTCTCAATTCACAACTTCCTGCATTTACTTGACATGTTTGTTTTGATCCCTTTCTTTTTGTGTTTGTGCATACATATAAAGTATTTCCCATACAGTTAGAGTTTAATCTCAGTTGATTTGTTCAGTGATCTAGTCTCCCTACTTAATAATTTGTGTCTACCCCAAAATTTCCCAAGTATGAAGTCTTCACCAAAACATATCAAGTGTTATGGCTATGGTGATTTAGTGTGGAGATGCACTATGGATTTGGGTCCAATATCTAAACAAAGATATGTTTTTCATGTTGATGGTGTTACTGGACAAAATTGAGGTCTGAATAGGTTTTTATTCTCTAACATGCTCTGAACACAAAAGTCCATTGGGCTTGAAGCCTGGGCAAGCAAAGGCCTACCAATGTCTTGTGCTGAAATTTAATTAATTATTAATGGGGGAGGCGAGGTTCAAACACCAGGTCAAACAGGCTCTGATACCAAGAAGAAAAATAAACCGGCAAAACGGGAGATTTAATCTAGAAAAGTGAGAGAAATAAGAGAAGTGCTGAACAAGAGGAAGAAGAAGGTGGGAGAAGAAAGGGAGGAGAAGAGAGTTTGATGATCTCTCTCCATTCCCTTAATTAGTTTTATCAATTTAATCAAGATTGGGCAAATTACAAAGATACCCTTAATAGGGCAGCCAGCTCATAAAGACAAAAAAATGAGAAAGGTCAACGGGCCCAACCAAGGTCCAAGGCCTATTAACATAAAGACAACTAAAAAAAGATACAAGTGAGAAGATTAAGGCTCATCCAGCTCATTCTCTCTACACTTGGTATCAATCTTCTCATCTTGAGAAGTAGAGATGTCCAGAACAAATGCTCCTTTGTTGTAGCAAGAAAATAGTTGGTCCATTTTACTGCTTCCATTGCCAATGTTCATTCAAAGTTGTTACAGGGACGGAACCAAGTTACTAGGTGGGGGGTCCTTGGCCCCCCAAACTTTTCCCATCTAGGGGTAGCCCATCCCCTATACCCACAACCAGGTTGGGCTAATACTTGGCCCCCCAAGCTTTTCAGAGAAAATGTTATTGGGTGGGCAGAGTCACATTAATACTTGTTTATCTCAATCATGACCCAATTTGATTTCTTGAAATCCCAATTCTAACTTTTTACATAATCTGTTATTTTTTCTATCTCAATTCAATTTGTTTGAATTGGATTTTCAGGTTGGGCTTGAACTAGAATGATCTATTTACTTTATATTGTAGGGTCCGATTGGAAATGCCTCAATCTTAACCCAGCCCAAAGTTAAATAGGGTTCTTATTTTTAACCTTAACCTTAAGAGAAACTTCAAACCAAACTTTTTGGTTGGACTTTAGTTGGAGAATACATCTCATAGGTGCACTGTAGAAAATTTCGCCTACTCTTCATTCTCCATTCTCCCTCATCTCTCATTCTTTTCCCCCTCCCCTCCCCCCAAGAGAAAATTCCTGGCTCCACCACTGGTTGTCTGAAAAAGTATGGGTAGCACCACCATATATGAAGATTTTGGTTCAATCATAAGCAGTGAAAGGCTTTTCTAGGAGAGGCAGAATCATTTGGAATCTTATTTCCTTTGCAATCTCATGGTCTTTGGAAGGAGATAAACCTTACGATTTTTTGTCACAGAATACAACCAAGAAGAAGATTATTGAAAAGATAGAATGATTGATTTCTTCGGGGTATTTCTGCTGGGCTTCAAGTTTAAAGCAGAAAACTCCTAACATGCAGCGGTAGGCTTCAGCCACAATTATTAACAAGTAATTAAAGAAGAAAAAGTAGAAGAGGAAGCAAGAATAACTTCTACTATACTGCTGACCATGGTAGACACAGAAAAATAACTCTTTACTCACTTCTTATCAGAAAAAAAAAGAAGAATAGAAGTTTAACACTTTTTTATGGACCCAAATAACAGTGACGTCCAACTTGAATTTGGACTATACTCCTACTTGTATTCAGACTTAAAAAGAAACAGAAACTTACTTTTCAAACTAAGACACTTTTATAACTCTCTGATTATATTAAAAACTAACTTAATATAAGGAACTTGAAATGACTAAAAGTAATGACTCATGGTTTTACTATAGCTAATAATTGTGAAAATTACTATAATAGTAAGCTCAAAAAGTTGGACCAAACTTGACAAAAACTAATATAATGAGTGTCAACCTGTAGGTTCCAATGTCAACCTGATGACTTTCAGCATGACTTGCAGAACCCCAAAACCAGTCATCTTTAAGCCTTTAGTTGGGTTGGGGCACTTCCACAAGTTGGTTTGAGCTGAAAATCTAGTCTTTGAACACTATAAATGCACTTTACTTGTACCAAACTTATCCAAATTGACCAAGGTTTGAATGGTCAAGCAGTCGCTTCTTTTCTGATCAACAGTGCACTCTGCAGATTGTCATCTGACCTCTTGTCTTCCATTCTTTCTTTGTTTCCATATTTATATCAGAGTTCCTATCCTTTACATGAGTCATGCTATACAGACCATGTAAGCTTTGTTTGCAGTGCAAATTTCATTTAAAATGGTGTAGATACATGCGTGTGCAGCTCACAGGCTGAGTGTAAATTCTGGATTCTGGTTTACTTTCATTTCTGATTTGACTTCATTTTATTTGTTTGTGAGAAGTAATAGTAAGAAAAATGATGTTGCCCCCACCTTATATGAAAGAGAATGGAGGTAGGAGGGTTCTTTGTTTTGGAGTGAAGTAGGAAGCAAGATGATGTGGTCCCCATTTATATGAGGAGGAATTGAAGTAGGAGGAAGGTGGTGCAAATTTTACATCAGTTTTTTGGATGCAAAATTTGCACTGTTGTGAGTGCAAATGAGACTAAAAGTACAAGTTTTGTATCAGGTAGGAGAGCAAATCATAGTTACAAACAATGGATGCAAAATTTGTATCCAGTTTTGATTTGTATTGCAGATAAATAGAGCCTTGGTAATTTTTTTACTTAGAGTTGTATTAGAAGCTAACCTTAGATTTGTTTATCATGCTGAGTTTGAATCCTGCACCTGATCAAATCTGTTTATGTTAGTTTTACTTAAAAGTCATCTGATGAATTGCTCTGTGATAAAAATTTTCATCCAATATATTTTAGTGCTTATAAATGAATGCTTTTGAGCATTTCTTGTTTCTGCAGATAGCAAGAGCATCCTCGGTTCCAGAGTCAAGCTACATTGCTAAGCCAGCTGCTTCGTGGCTTGATGACTTTCTTGTTTGGATATCTCCAGAAGCATTTGGTTGTTGTCGGAAGTTCACAAATGGGAGTTACTGCCCCCCTGATGATCAGGTTGCTGATTTATATCATAGTTTACAGTCATGCCTTTTTATGACCCTTTCTTTTTCAATTGAAAGTTTTCATTAAACTTGCATTAATTCTGCAAAATACTACAGTGCCTAGAGCCTGAGTTTACAGTGCTCAGAATTTTAAGATATATTTTCTTGTTGGTCCTGCTTCAGGTATCATTTGTCTACTGGGCCCTGATTGCTTTTAGGAGGGTACTGTTCTTTCTTGTTCAATGTGTGATGTGGTGACCTAATCAGGTTGTCTGCATCTTTATGGACCAGAAAGAGCTCTACCAAAATGGACTTTAAGCAACTTCATAGACTGTATGGAGTATGGTTAAACTATCCAATCAGCCAATCTGGGCAATTTTTTTTATACTACAGTAGCAAGTCAATTTTTGAATCATTATATTGGATTTCATTATCATCTCACTTGATATTTACTGAAGCAAATATCTCTCTCTCCAGCCTCCATGTTGCTCACCTGATGAAGGTTATTGTGGCATAGGTGGGGTATGCAAAGATTGTACCACGGTAATATTACCTCTTCTTACCATCCAAGAAACTTCTAACTATATTTTCTGTATGGTTGTTATGAAAATGTTTTTTCAGCTGCCTATCATGTAAATCAAGACAAAAATGCTTTTAAAGTTAACAAGAATGGGTCAAGTGCTAATGTTGTAATGTGCTTTCAGTGCTTCCGTCACTCAGATTTGCATAATGGTCGACCTTCTACAGCACAATTTAGGGAGAAACTTCCATGGTTCCTTGATGCCCTACCATCTGCTGATTGTGCCAAGGGTGGGCATGGTGCTTACACTAACAGTGTGGATCTGAATGGTCTGTGAGATTTATCTTTAATCTTCTATACATTTTAAGTACCTAACTCATAAGTCATAATTTTCTTGAGTAGCATCATTTAAATTTTTCATCAATTGATTACATCCAATTATCAGGTTACGAAAATGGTGTCATACAAGCTTCAGAGTTTCGTACATATCACACACCACTCAATAAACAAGTATGCTGACATCTTTTTCCAATTCAAACTGGAATACTATTTGGTTGTTGCTTCAGCATGATTTATGTAGTTATATTTTGCAGAGTGACTATGTTAATTCATTGCGAGCCGCACGAGAGTTCAGCTCGAGGGTTTCAGATTCTTTGGGGGTAATATTCTAATTCTACAGCTGCAGAATTACCTTTATCTTGTTGCCACACCATGTTTTCATGTAATAAATGTTGGGGGTGTTTAAACAAATGTTTAGGAAGCAGTAAGGATACTTGGTCCTTTCTTCTTTACATCATTAGTGAGGTTGTTTCTTCAGAAAAAGGGAAAGAAAGAAATGTAGAATTATGAACCAACTGATCATTAATAACTTCTTTCCCTTGCTGATAAGATAGAATTTCTTTCACTAAGCATTAAGACTAGGAATTCAAGCATTAAACCATAGTTTTCAAGGCGCCAAGGCGAGGCTAGGTGACTGGGGGGCGCCTAGTCGCCTAGGCGGGCGCTGGCGATGGATTTTTTATCTTTAAAGCATAGATCCTAGGGTAGTTTCCTAGGTACCATAACTATATTTCTTTAATAATTATTCATGATTTTCATAAGAAAGGTATAAATTTATATTAAAGTACAGAAAATCAACATATTCATGAGAAGAAAAGGAAGAAGGAAAATAAAATTCAAAAAATATAGGGGTTGAACCCTTATTTTTGTTATAGGAAAAGAAGAAAATAAAAAGTATTGGTAGTAGTAGTAGTAGAAGAAGAAGAAGAAGAAGAATATATGGAAGAGGAAAATGTGCTGATTAGATAAAATTTTTTGTTCTTCCTTACTTATTGGTTCAGGTTTTTTAAGTCTTTGAGGGTTCAATACAGCATTTAGCAATGTTTGTGTTGATTAAACCTTAATAAATAAGAAAATAATAAAAAGGAATTAGTATATAAACACACAAAATGATAATTTTAGTTTAATAATGTCTATTTTATAATTATAATCTCAAAAAGGAATGAATAAAAAGTTTTTTTATAGTAGGAAGTAGAAAACTGTTAGGCGATTAGGCGAGGCAAGCCTCAAAAGGGCGCCTTGGATGATGATGATGAGAGCTTAATGAGCCACTGGCACTGAGATATAGATGCATGTGGGCTGTGTGTTCAGGAACAAATAAGTGAAAAAAGGCCAAAAGCCCTAGTGCTAGATTAATTAGAATGATAAATTAATTTATTCTAAATATAGGCATATACAATTTGAGACCAATTACATTGCTGATTGTAAGATGGTAAGAAAAGTGATGCTGTTATGAATAATGGAATTCATCATATGAAAGAGGGGTATGGGACAATCAAATGTTGCCTTCTTATCTATGAATTTCTCAACATAACAAACAGATTCTCCAATATGAAGCCCAAGATGTCCAAGGGCAATAAATATATCCCCAGCATGCAGTAACTATGGATTCCATTATACACCCATTGCTTTGTGAACTATCTTTAGGGGGCATTACTTGGTGTAATGGTAAAATCTTGGTCTGATGAGCATGAAAGCATGGGTTGACCCATTATAAACCCATTTCTGTTTATTGACAATGAAGAAAAAACATAAATTAGGAAATTCTGAATAATTTACAAGCATAAAGTAAGCAGTTGCTATTGAAAGGGGATTGAGATGTGAACTTCTGGCTTCTTCCAAGGGAGAGGTAATACTCGTACTGATTGTCATGAAATATGTTTTATCTATCACTCTAAGTGAAATTTAATTAAAGAATCAAATCTTATGCCTTTAATTGACATAGCCCTTAACTTTTTGCTACATTGATGCAGATTGAAATTTTTCCATATTCCGTCTTTTACATGTTTTTTGAGCAATACCTGGATATTTGGAGGACAGCATTGATCAACCTTGCAATTGCTCTCGGTTAGTTCAATTTGTGGTTTATAACCTTTAATCATTTGGAATTGTGAATTTCCTAGTTATAACTGGATTATTTTTGCAATATTAGCTTTGACATATTGTGCATCTTTTTCTAGCATAGTGATTTTTCCCTTGATTTGGTTGAGGTAATGTATCACTATAGAATATAAAAGGGGCAAGCTCCAATAAAAGCTAGAAACTTTGCGTGGTTAACGGGATAAGACCATGATGAACATATATGAATAGATGGATCTATCCATAACTTGTACATCTCCATTTTAGCTTTAGTGACATGGTATTATCTCTTTGATTCAGAAACAAGACCATATCTTCCTCTTCATGACTTTTTAAAGAATCCCTAGAAATTCACTTATTAACAAGATGTTTTCCTTTGCCTACTCTATTAAACTTTGGAAATGCCTTTTGACTTCAAAGGTATCTCAAATAATTCATCTCTTCTTGACATGATGAATTAATCAAATAAATTTCATGTTAATGCCTTTTCCTTCGATTTGTAAACCCCTTTCTAAAACACCTGGGTTATTGGAATATGGATCCAAAAATGATGAGTAAAACTTAAAATATATGTAGTGTTGGCTACCATGAAACACATACAATCAAATTGAAAGAGAAGCTAACCTTTTTATTTGAGAAATGGTGAATATTATTAAGACAAAGCAAGAAAAAGCTGCTGAGGGAAAGATTTCCTCAGCAGCCAAATACAGAAAAGCCAACAGGCTTATAATGCAAAATCCTCATCCCATAAGATAGAATTCCAATGATCAACAAAATGCTTATAGAGGAAACCCCTAAAAAGGTTGTTGATGGATATCCATTTCACCAAAGTTTTCTCAGCAGCAGCATACAATTTCTCAAGGGGATCAGCCTTATCTTCAAATAATCAGTTATTCCTCTCTCTCCATAAGCACCTGCAAACCACCAAAGGGGATACTTTCCACAGCACCTTACCCCTCTTAAAGAAAGCCTGACCACGCCACTGAGCCAGAAGGGATGCTGGGAAGGAAACATAGTTGTCAAGGTGATGCCTAGGTGGGCGCCTAGGCGACAAGATGCCCTTGGAGGCTCGCCTCGCCTAATCACCAAGCAGTTTTGTATACTATGTTATAAAATACAATTATATTCTTAATTTATTGAGATTATAATTATAAAAAGACATTATTAAACTAAAATATTCATTTTGTGTGTCTATGTACTTATTTATTTTTATTATTTTCTTATTTGTTAGGGTTTAATCAACATAGACATTGCTAAGTACTGTGATGAACCCTCAAAGACTTCAATACCTGAACCAATAAGTAAGGAAGAAATTAAAATTTTGTCTAATCAACACATTTTCTTCCACTTCTTCCACCTTTTCTTTTCTTTTCCTATAATAATAGGGGTTCAGTCCTTATATTTTTTGAATTTTCTTTTCTTCTTTTTCTTTTCATGAATATGTTGATTTTCTAGACTTCAACGTGAAGTTTATACTTATGAAAATTATGGATAATTATCAAGGAAATATGCATACCTGTTTGCTGCCTTTTTTTTTTGGAGATTCTCGACTTGCCAGGAATCTGTGTACAAAATCTCTTTGCACAATGGACCTTTTGTATTCCCTTTACATTATTAATACGATTATGCTTTCCTATAAAAAAAAGAAAAGAACAGGAAAAGATAGCACCATCCCTAAGTTCTGCTGAATGTGCTTATTTCTAGTTTTGTCGCCCCTAGTTTTTCAGGTCATCCATTTAATATTCTCAATTTGGCCATACACATTTTATCCATGTATTGCTTATTGCCTAAAAGAAATACATACTCAAACTTTGTATATTTGAGTATGGAGTTTTCACAAATTGGCAATTAATTACCTTGTTTATCAATGTTTTCCAATGTTCTCAGATGCATACAAGGCATCGTTAAAAAGCTCTGAGGTGCACTGTTGAGGCACTCAAATCATGAGAAGCATATTCCTCGTGAATTGAAGCAAAGATGAAACATACACTTTAGAGAAAGTGTAAAAACATATCATTTGCTCAGAATTTTTTTTTAATTCCCAAATCAGATATAGAGAAGACCATATAAAATAGCACAAGAGCTGAAAGTAGCACTATCTTTTGTAGTACAGAGGAGAAAACTATTGCATTATATCAATGCCGGGCTCACATATCCATCTAACAAACAGTTGAAATTATATTCTAAAATGATTATATTTATTGCTAATCATAGTTTTCAAGGCACCAAGGCGAGGCTAAGCGATTGGGGGCGCCTAGTCGCCTAGGCAATGGATTTTTTATGTTAAAAACATAGATCCTAGGGTAGTTCCCTTGGTACCAAGAGATGAGAGGAGGAGAGAAGAAGAAGAAGGAAGAAGAAAGAAGAAGAAGAGAGGAGAGAAGAAAGAGGCCAAATATTTAGACCAAAAAAAACATAAACTGGCGGTGCCTAGGATTTGTATTTATAAGTTAGGGCGACTACATAAAAAATAAAAGGTTAAAAAGACAAAAATTCCCCTGTGGCACATAATTGAGATTACATCACTCCCCCTCAAGTTGGGGCGTAGATATCAATCATCCCCAACTTGTCACAAAGATTATAGTGCCGCATGGAATTTAATCCTTTAGTAAGGATGTCTGCCAATTGTTCCTCAGAGTTGATGTAGGGAGTGCAATATTCTCTTTTTTCCAATTTTTTCCTGATGAAGTGTTTGTCAACCTCTATATGTTTAGTTCTATCATGGAGAACAGGGTTGGTTGAAATGTTAATAGCAGCCTTATTGTCACAGTGTAATGACATAGGATCACTGAGAGGAAAGCCCAATTCACCCAAGAGATTCTTTATCCATAGAAGTTCTGCCACGCCATGAGACATGGCTCTATATTCAGCTTCTGCACTCGATCTGTCCACCATACTTTGTTTCTTACTCCTCCAAGTAACCAAGTTTCCCCCAACAAAAGCACAATAAGCACTAGTAGATTTTCTGTCATCCACAGAACCAGCCCAATCTGCATCAGTGTAAACCTCAACTCTCATATGCCCATGTTTTCCAAATAGGAGTCCTGTCCCCGGGAATTTCTTCAAATATCTAAGAACTCTGTGTGCTGCCTCCAAGTGTGTGGCCTTGGGATCATGCATAAATTGACTAAGGACTCCCACTGCATACGCAATGTCAGGTCTTGTCATAGATAGGTAGAGAAGTCTGCCCACCAATCTTTGATACTGCTTCATATCTGCTATGGGCTCATCATTGCAATCCCCGAGCCTGTGGTTTACATCTATAGGAGTGTCAGCAGGTTTTGCTCCAAGCTTCCTTGTATCTTTCAGGAGATCAAGAACATATTTCCTTTGGGAGATGAAGATACCTTGATTAGAGCGGGCCACTTCAATTCCAAGGAAATAACGTAAAGGCCCCAAATCCTTCACTTCAAATTGGGTGGCCAAGAATCTCTTCAATCTTTGTATCTTTGAGTTCCAATCACCGGTGATAATAATGTCATCAACATACACAATTAAAGCTGCCATTCTTCCTTGCTCTCTCTTCACAAAGAGTGTGTGATCAGATTGGCACTGCTTAAAACCCATCTGTTGAACTGTATTGTGGAACCTACTGAACCAGGCCCTTGGAGACTATTTTAAACTATATAAAGATTTTTTCAGTTTACATACTTTCTGCTCATCTCCTTTAGCACGAAAACCTGGAGGTTGGATCATATACACTTCTTCTTCCAAGTCACCATTCAAAAAAGCATTTTTAATGTCCAACTGATGAAGTTCTCAATCTAGATTTGCTGCTAAATAAAGGAGGACTCAAATAGAATTCATTTTTGCTACAAGTGCAAAGGTTTCCGCATAATCAACTCCATACACCTGTGAAAAACCTTTTGCAACTAGCCGGGCCTTGTACCTCTCCACTGTGCCATCTGCCTTATGTTTCGCAGAGAATACCCATTTGCACCCCATAGGTTCCTTTCCTTCAGGAAGATCTACCAGCTCCCACGTGCCATTTTTGTGAAGGGCATTGATCTCCTCCTTCATTGCATCTGTCCATTCAGGTGGTGTGTGGTGCATGATCTGACACCTTTCCTCTTAGCAATAGGAAGATCCAGATCACAATTAGAAGTATCAATATCAATGGGCTCAGGGATGTCAACTGGAACAATAGTACCTGGATGTGGTGATTGATTTAACCCCTGAGAGTTCGATGACATAGGTTGCACAGCTTCAGGATGCTCTGTGTCTATTGAACTTCGTTGATCATGGCCTTGACTTTTGTACCGATGTCTAAGAAAGACCCGAAATGGAGGGGGGTCAGGAGGAGAAGGCAATAAAACTTGTCTTTGTTTCTCCTCACTTGGACTCTCCCCCTGAGGAGAAGCAAGAAAGAAAGGCACATCTTCAAAGAAAGAAACATCCATAGATACAAAGTACTTTTTGGAAATAGGGTCAAAGCAACGATAACCTTTTTGGGAAAGGGCATAGCCAAGGAAAACACAAACAATGGCTTTGAGATCTAACTTACCACGGGTAGGTGATAGATCATGGACAAAACACTTGCACCCAAAGACACGCAAAGGGATAGGAAACAATGGAGCTATAGGGAAGATGAGCTGATGAGGGGACTTGTACTCCAAGAGACGAGATGGCATCCAATTGATAAGAATGCTGCTAATAGATAGTAAATTAATAGGCAGTTTTGGAACATGTAAAACATCTGATAGGGGTAAGCCAAATGGCAAAGATATAGATCCTCGACCAGCAATGGAGAAGGATCCATCAGCTAACCTCACTTTATCTTTGCCAGAAAGAAGGGTGTATGATTGGAAAAAGGTTGACTTACCCGTCATGTGATTGGAAGCATCGGAATCAATAATCCATGGCGATTCAGAGGTATCGGTAGACGCATGGAATGTAGAAGCTAAGTTATCTGAGGAAGAGGCAAAAGAGGTTGAAGGAGTGGGTCCATAATCAGTTTGTGTGAGGCCCCTACCATATTGATCCAAATAGTCACGAAAGGCAGTGATAATATTTTCCTTAAGATCGGACCTAGGGGGCAATCTTGAGAGTTCATAGTAGTTCCTCCACTCTGCAACTCATGAGAGGCCAAGTTAGCCGAGGTGAACCTTTTCTGATTTGGTTTCTTGTTCTGTTGTGCTGATTTCTTATTTAGGTCTTGTGCCCACTTTGGCTTGCCATGCAATTCCCAACATGTCTCCCGTGTGTGTCGGGATTTCTGACAATGAGAGCACCACAGTTTATCCTTATCATCAACCCTTTTCTGACCATCTCCCTTTCTTGCTGAATTGATATTACCTCTTGCGGCTAAGGCAATGGTTTCCCCCTCGGGAGGATTCATGGCAGATTTCCTACTTTCCTTGGATTGAACCAACGCATGCATCTCTTGGACAGAGGGAAGATCCTTGCTGCCCAAAATTTGAACTCGAATGGGTTCATATATGGGATTAAGTCCCAACGGAAAAGCAAACACCCGCTGCTGTGACACTAACTGTTTGTAGGCTTTGGCATCCTTTTCACTCTCCCAGTCAATATTCTGATAGTAATTTAACTCTTTCCAGATAGATGTGAGGGCAGAATAGTAGGTGGATAAGCTTCTTTCCACTTGTTTACATGTTGCAGACTCGGCTTGCAATTGATAGATTCTAGCATAGTGCCTCTGTTCGGAGTAAGTTGACCTTGCTTGTTCCCATATTTCCTTGGCTGTTTCAGCCCACATAAAGTTCTACTTCACTGATGGTAGCATAGTAGTCAAGAGCCATGACATTATCATGCAGTTTTCTTGGTCCCACTTATCATATTCAGCCGTACCAGTCCTAGGTTCCTTCACTTTTCCATTGATATACCCTGCTTTACCCTGGGCTGTGATGTACAGCCACATCTCCTTAGACCATGTCAAATAATTACTGCCATCTAAGGGAGTAATGGTCGTTGGAAAGCTCATGGAGTCAATACTGTTGTTCATTCCTCCTTGGTTAAAAGAGGCTCCAGAGGTTGCTGA